TCCTCGGCGTGGTCGCGAAGGCGCTGCAGGGCGGAGAGGGTGATCCGCTGCCAAAGCGGCAGGGGGGCGAGGGGGGCGAGGGAAAAGGAGGGCGCCGGGAGTTTCGGCTTCCCCCGCCGCAGGAGATGCGCGGCGACCTCAAACGCCTCGTCGGAGGTCGGGAGCCCGGATGGGAGAAGCGTGCGCGACATGGCCCGACGCGTCCGTCCGCATAAGGGGCCTCCAAACGGGAGGGATTGGGTTGGATGGGGATGCTTATTCGGTCCGCGTGTCCGCGCGGAGGAAGTTCTATGGAAAGGTAAAAAATAAAAAAGGTTCCCCTCGCTGCTTTCCTGGTGTGAAAGTTGTAAAGAAAAAGGACTGGTTATGCGCCTCTTTTTTGCTCTTGAAAAGAGTCACAAATCCAAGGAAAAAAGACAAAACAGAGAAGCTATTAATAGGAACCCATGAGATGCGGCTCCTGTAGACATACAGAAAGAGTCAGAATGTTACAGCGGGTATGGCTTTACAGACTCTTCTTGTACTCATTCAGCATATATATTATTATGCTGATATATGTATATATATATATATATATATATATTTAGAATCTCCCTCAAATGAATGTTTTAAACGGTTATAGCGTTTGTTTGCTGAATCCGAAAACGCGTGTACTCCACACCTTGTCCTGAAACCACAATATCAAAAAACGCTGGCGTTAATCGCCGGACGGCGAAGCCGCTCACACAACGCACATTCACGCGTTTCCTCGCCATTAACTCCAACGCCCCAGTTCCTTCCTCCACCCGGATGCACATCACATTCTCCTCATTCACGACGAACAAATGCGCACTAAAGGGCGGCCAGGCGATCCCACGCCCGGCGGTGAGCCCGGTTGAGAGCCGCGAAAGAAGAATCAAGGCATGCGAGCCGCCCTCCTCCTCCTCCTCCTCTTTCGCCTCCGTAGCGACCTTCCAGGAATAACAAACCAAATGAACCACCCCGGAGTCGTGAACGACGGCAAAACGCGATTCGAAGCGGTTGGTTTCCCTTTTTTCAACCCCCCCATCTGCGGCGATGGCGTTCAACGACGACGGTTCGATTCGCCGCTGCGCGCGCACGACCGCCCGTGGCGAATCGCGCAGGCCAACCTCCACGGCGTACACCACCCCGTTGGTATCCCCTACCAACACCCGTCGGGTTTCACCCGTGGGTTCTTCCCGCATCGGGGTTTCCTCCGAAAGCAACGCGAGGGCAAGGATCGGCTTTGGGTGCTGCGCATTCGGCACCCACGCGAGTTGCCGCGCGAGCGATGCGGTGGTTTCGTCGAAATGAAACACCCGCAGCGCGGCGTCGCTGCCGCCGACGAGGAGGTGCCCGCCACCGAGGCTGCAGACGGAGAGAAAACGCGGCACGCGCGCGGCGGAGACGCGTGTGAATCTTTTGGGCTGTTTTTTGGAAATCCTCGAGGAAGGGGGGGGGGAAATCGCGCCCGTCTCGTGGCGCGCCTCGAGTTCGTGGGTGCTCGCGAGGACGCGCCACCCCCCCTGAGGCGGCCGCCACCCCAAAACCGCGAGGGAGGCGAGGCCGCCCACGGAGGCGACGGCGACCCCCCCACCTCCGCGATTCCACCGGGCATCCCGCAGAGCGCGAGGAGGTTGGAGCGGTGGGGCCCTCGAAAGAGGTGCGCCCTCGCCGCGTCCAGAAGCCCCCCTCCTCCCCCCCCTCCTTCTCCTTTTCCTTCTTCGCCCTCTTCGGTTTCGTCCCCCGGAAGTGGCGGTGGGGCGGCGCCCGTGGAGAGTAAACTGGAATCCTCATTACCGTGGAGAAAGCCATCAAAAGGAGGGGGGAGGTAGACGCTGCAGTTGAAATCCTTCCCAGGGAGGAACCCGCCGGCGAGGATGGTGGTGTCGGTGTTTGACCACCAAACCTCCTCGCTCGCGGTGCCATCCCCGCGCGGGATCGATTGGGTCGGGGAATTCCATGAAAGTTCATAGCGACGACCTTCGATCCCCTGGCCATCCGAGCAGTGGGCGAAGTAGACCCTCACCCCAAGGCCATCCTCATAAATCGCGGCCGTCATCAATCGCGGGGCTCTGATCGCGTCGTACGCGGCGACTTTTCGCCAGGCGTGGGCGGTCGGATGGCGGCAAAACACCGACACCTCCATTCCCCGTCGCCCGACCAACACCCGCGGCGAGGCCGCCACGACGCCCGAGATATCCATCGGAAACCGCAACGAACGCTCCGCAGAAGGGGGGGAACGCGAAAAAGCGGGCGGGGAACGCCGCAGATCGCTCAAACGAACCCTTTGATAACTCGCATCATCGCCGAAGACGAGGAAAGTCGGCATCGACCCCGGGCTCCCCTCGACCACGATTCGCCCAATCGCGGTCGACATCAAATCCACCTCCCAAACCACATCGAGAGGAACGCACGCCGCCGTGGCGAAGCACGCGGGGGTTAAACGAGAAGGGTAGCGGAAAACCCGCAGCCTTCCCGCCTTATCGCCGGTGAAAACGAGGAGGGGCGCGTCCCCCTCGTTCGATGGGGGCTGCCAAAGCTGCAGGGCGGTGGGGAGGGCGCCGGAGGGGGGGCGGCCGCACGCGAGAACGCGCCCTTCTCCCGCTTTCCCCCCCCACCCACTCACCACCACCGACCGATCCGCATGCGAGGAAACGAGCAACACCACAGCAGCAGAAGCAAACGAAGAGGAGGAAGAGATCGAGCTCGCCGGATCCCCCCCTCCCCGCCACGCGCGTGCAATGAGCGAAATCACCTTCCCATACGCCCCCCATAACGACGAGATCGACAAGGCGGCATCGCCCTTTTCGCGAGGGTACGCCGCGACGATCAGCGAACCCCCTGCGGTGGCGAGAAAGCCGCGCCCCCCCCCCGACGGCCCCACGAGGGCGGTGAGGGCGGTGGGGAAAAGACCCCGCCCCCCCTCCGCCATGGCGGCCGCCTTCCACGAGAAGAAATCCACCGTCGGGCTGGCAAACCCTCCACGAATCGTGAGAGAAGATTCCGTGCAACACAACACCCTCCCATCCGCGTCGACGAAGAGCCCACGAAGATACGGGAGGGCCTCCCGCGAGGTCTTGGACGACCCCCCACCCCCCCTTCGCGAGGGGGATGGAAACGCGCGAAAGCGAATCCGCCGCGCCCTTCTTCTGTTCTCGTCGAAATCTCCCTTTTCCTCCCCCGGCTCCACCTCCTCTTCCACAATCGGACTCCCTGCGAGGGTGCCGTCAAACCCCCCAGAAACCACCCAAGGTGAGGCCAGGGGGAACCTTTCATCCCCCTTTCCCATTGATTTCGGCGCGTGGGAGGGAAGGAAACGCGGCAAAAGTCGTATTTTAAACCCCCCATGCCCGTCGTGCTGCTCGGAGCGGAAAAAAACACGCTTGGCGTCATTCAAGACGAGTTTCGAACCCCCTTCTCTTTCCTCTTCCCCCTTTTCTTCTTTTTTCTCTTGTTCCTCACCCCACCCCAGACGCCAGACCTGCACGCTGCCATCCTCCGAGGCGGCGGCGCAGAGCAGCGAAGGGTGTGGGGCCTCCTCCGCAAACGCGAGATCGACGTCGAAGAGCCGCCCGCGCGAGAAATCCGCGCCACTCCCTCGCCAAAAAAACACCCACGACGCCGCCGCGGGGTCCTCGCCCGGTTGCGCGCAATAAAAAACCGCCGCGGAGCGATCGTCGCTGCAGGTCGCGATGAAAATGGCCTGCGAGGCGGCGTGGCGGATCGCCCGCACGGCGAAAATCGCACACCCCATCGGATGCACCGGAAGAGCCCCTGCCGTGCGATTGGAAACCCGGAAATTCACCCCCTTGCCGTGAAACTGCCAAAGCCGAAGACGCCCGTCGTAGGTGGCGGAAAAAACGACCCCTCGCAGGAGCGTCACGTCCCCCCACATCAACGCATCCGCCGCGAGGACCAACGGCAGCAACGGGCCGGCCAGCAACGACGTTTTGAGAAGAACCCCCTCGACCTCCTTAGATTTAGAACCCGTAGAGAAGATTTCGGGAAGATCATGAAAGTGAAACAGTCTCGCCGTGTTCGTCGCGGTGAGCACCACCCCCACCCCGAGCGCCTCCGCGACGCGGATCACCAAAACCCGACCCCCGCACGGGCAAAACATCACGCGTGTTTCGCCCGAACTCTTCGCGTTGATAACGTACACCATATCCATCGCGCCGGTGATGAAAACACGATCCAACGACGAGGAATCGACGGATAATCGGGGTGGCAGCGCGGCGATCGAATTTACCACCACCCCATCGGGCAGACGCGCGATCGTTCGTGTGCGGACGCGGCCGGGATCGAATTCCTCCACGCCGAAAATCACATTTCCGATCGCGAAAAAAAGGAAATCCCTGAACCCCTGGCATCGAGAGGCGGGTGCCGTTGAGAGCGCCGTGATCGGCCCGTGAAGCGATACGCTCTCCGATGAAACCATCCGGGTGGCGTTGGATTCATCCGCCATATTGATTCCTTCTCACCCTTGTCAGAGCCTCTTCACTTGAGGGAGGGGGGAGGGGGGAATGTGGATTGCATTAGAGAAAAGTGGAACGAAAAAATTATCGAAAGATCTGAAAATGAAGACAAACTACCTCTGATCAATTGCACACAATTCAGAACCTCCTCATTGGTTTGTACAATTTTGCGGCTTCGTTTTTTGAAATTTTATCCAATAGAAAATTTCAGTAGGCAGAATCGATATACACATATAAATGGAATTCATATCCATGTAACAATGATAACATGTGCAGTTGGGCTAAATTGTTTACCTTCCTTCATACGGGAAGCAGACGACCGAATGGTCGATGGTTTTTGCCTTCAGCTGCGGCACACATGCTTCCGGAATGTAAAGCTTTAATAAGTACCGGCAGGTAGAAATCTCTGAAATCTCGAGCAAATACCTTTTCCTGATTGCTCTCGATGTATAGCTTAAACACCTGAGCTGCACTTCGGTTTCTCGGTTTCGGCCAATTAGTGGACATGAAGTGCCATCGGTGAAAAACGTTCGAAAATACGCTCCTGTTGAATCGAGTTCATACGTAAACGAGGTGCCTATGGGATCCTTTTGGTAACCTATGGTGATGGTGGGGATCCCTATGGAGTTCGGGCTACCCCTTGATAAACCAGCCACCAAATCTAACTGAGTTTGAATGATAAACCTCTCCCAGCAGAATCTATACAACAACGAGCTGCTAGTAGCTTCCATACAGGTTTCCTCCAAACTCTTGCTAACTTCGTTGATGACCTCTGCAGGAACTAAACTCCCAGGCGTAAGTGTCCTTGTAGACTCGCTTTCCTTGGAAAACCCGCGCATTGTTTCATCTGGAAGCGTGCAGATGTAGGAAGAGCCGTTCGCGTTACGCATAGGGTAGATGGAATGATCCGGTATCTTCATGAGATCGTTAGGATCGATAGGAGAGGGTGAAAATACGATGTCGTAGGAGTACCGGGTGGACTTGATGTACTCGGCAAGCGCATAGCACTTGAGTTGGATTATCTCAGTTAAGAAAAGGCAAAGAAACGCCAAGACGATCGGTAGTACACTTCTACGGTTCGATAATTTCATTTTTCCACGTCAGGCCCCACACGTTATCCCTCCTCTCCTCCTTCTGTAGATCCTATACCACACACGTAATACTCGTGTTTTTCTCTATTATTGTCTGTGTCTTAATATTGTATCTGGCAAAGCTAGAGTCACACAAAGAAGGGGAGAGATGGTGGAGAAAAAATGCAAAGGAACACAGCCACTTCAAACAAGATTACTCAAGACCAAGAGGTAACGAAAGTTGAAGATGAGGCATCATCCAGATTTTGAAGATGCATTATGTACTTTGCCAATCCTCTCCCCCCCCCCTCCTCCCATTCACTTATACCCCTTGGCACGCACTGCAAGGGGATCTTTATATATATATAATACTGAAATAATTATTCGGGGGATCGGTTACGATGAGCTAAGATTCAAAGATTGCCAATGCTCACGCTTTATTTTCATATACGTATCGCTACATTAACAACAGCACGTCATTTGATAAACTACAGACAATTTTTTAGGTCATTTAGCATATCTTCTTCCTCTGGACCCATGATGGGAGTGAGTTTAGTGAGTAAGTTTTGGAATTGGGCACGGGTTAACAACGGGGGGCGAACCTCTTTCGAAAAGGTTCCCGGCCAGTAAACCTCTGGGCTTGAATGGTTCGACTCGATAAAATTCTTTGATCGCACATTCTCACAGGACCCCAACAACTTTCTAGCAATTTCCCTGGCTTTCTTGACCCCCATGTCGTCCAGCTGTGACGAAGGGAGTAGCAAGATTTGCAACAGATCAACCCAATCGTCGTGGAAGAAGTCCACGCTGCTATAACGCACGTGATTGTCTTTTTTCTGCATGTGAATCACCTTCACGGCGGTGTCGATAATCCCACTCGGCATCTCTCCTAAGGAAAGAAGAACGACGTAATGCAGCCAAAAAGGTCCATAGAGGGGGTAAAGCGCGATCAGCTCCTCGAAGGAGGCTGCCTGACGGGTGGTGACATGCTGTAGAGAGATGCAGGATGTTTCACAGTACCTCAGCCACTTCGTGGAAACCCCTTCGTACGCTAACCTACATGGTGCATGGCTCCAGTTAAAAACAGCTTCGCTGGTGGAGGATACCCAACCCAGAACATTCACCGCACGAATAAGCGATACCGCATGCTGATACCCATCGTCCTTGAGGAGGTAAAACTCAGTGAGCGCGGTGTTATACATGTGAGCGGTGGCTGCCATCCAGCTGAATAGCGATCGCGATAAATTATGGTAAACGAAGCGTAAATCCTCATAGGGCGTCGGCGCTTTCAGAAATCCCCTCAGCGTTGAATACGAGATGTCGGCCGCCTTCCGAATTGATCTCGCCGTGCGCTCAATCTTCGCGGAGTCGTACACGACCTCCTTCTCCGGCGTTTTCTCGCTCGCCGCAGAAATATTGGTGAGGGTGAGCTCTAACAAACCGCTCACCAGCGAAGAAGTCGCTATCATCTCGCTAAACGACTCCGCCGTGGGGTGTTCTTCTATCTTTGCTATCATCATCTCCAGTGTTGAGAGGTTATCCGCCGAAAGAGGAAAAGCGATCGTTCGATTGCTATTCAGAAAGGGCGCAACAAGGGTTTGATAAAGCGCTAATAATAATGTACAACCCGCGGCGGCGACCATCAATCCGCCGCACGAGGGCCACCGACGCCGTCGTCTGGATCGCTCGCGAGGTGGGCCGTGGATGACTCCGTTAGGAATTGGTCGAGGGGAACGTCGAGGAGCGACGGTTGGGGCGTTTAGCCTAGCCATATGATGTCAACTTGATCCTTTCTTCGTGTTAACGATAATATAAGAACGTATTTACTAAAGAATACGGCAATATTAACATAAACCAAGATGATATGGATCATCGGCACAACCTCACTTTGCTGGGCGCAGACGCCACTGAGAAAATCGAACACGCCGACAGACGTCGTAACCCCAGACAAGCAAGGGTCTTAAAACTGAAATTCATAAACGAAGGGTGTTTAAATAATAACCCATACCATTCATGCAAGCATTCTTCTTGAATCTTTCATCTGAATCCATAAGCAACAAAAATAGTTAGATTAACACAGATTCCAACCATACACACACACACACATTCTCTCTCTCCTTTCTTTCATTCTCTCTCTCTATCTCTCTCTCCAAAAAAAAAAAAATGAAAGGAAGAAAGGAAGAAAGGCAAGAACAACCCATGTCGTTGGTGCTATCAAAGGCACACTATGCCGTTGTGAGGCTATCCATTTCTATTTCTGTTGATTTCTCCTAGACCAAAAAGGAAGAAAACAGACAAAAGCAAATGGCCTAAACAACGAATCACTCACGGACCCGTTAAATCCTCATTGCAAGTTACTTTTAACAACCGCCTGTTTCCACGATGACTCTGGAGGGTGTCGTCGCCGATGTATTCATTAATCAGCTCGGTCGTCAAGTCCTTAAAGTCGTTGATCTTCACGTAGGGAATCCGAAATTGCTGCGCCTCCGGCTTCTCGCTTACGCCGATGAGCATGCAAAATTGCTCGACGCAGCTCTTGGAGTAGCCTTCGGCGCTATCCATGACGATCACCGTCCGCGCGCACGCGCAATCCATGCTCTTCGCGCAGGACTTAAAATAATCCATCTCCGGACGGTAGCACCACCCGAGACTCTCCCCATCCACGGCGTCGATGAAGTGATCAAAGAGGGCCTGAAGCTGCGGCCACTCGTTGAGGATCCAACGGCCGTTTCGGCTATCCGTTACGCACCCGACCATGATTCCATTCGCGCGAAGATTCGTCAGAAACTGGATGGTGCCCTCGCGAAGCTGCAGGCTTTGCTTTTGGATGATCTGGCGAAACTTGTGGAGCTTTCGACTGAAAAGATCGGTGAGGAGTTGGGCGCCCTCCGAATTCGTCTGCCCGCCCGACGGCGGGAGCGGTCGGCTGAAGCGCTTAAAAAGCTCCGCGAGGCCGTTCATCGGTCGGTTATGACTGAGGTAGGCGAGGAAGAGCTCCCGCGTCATGGAAAAGTCTGGCATCGCGATGTCGGTGAAGTACTCCTCCAAGGCCTCCTTCCACGCGGCGTAGTGGACGTCCTGGAGGCCGAGCAGGATGCTGTCGATGTCGAAGATCACGCAGTCGAAGTCGAACACGCACACGTCGTGGCGAAGCCGCACCTTCTGCGGCTCGTCCTTCGCGAGCCGCACGCGTCGGGTTTCGCCGTGGATGAGCAGCAGCCCACCGCTCCCATCCGCCGGCCCCTCCAAAAGGGTGTACGTCACGATCCGCGGTTTCACGACCGCCTGGACGAGCCCGCCGGCGTGGCGGATTTTAATCTCATACCCCGCGCACCCCTCCGGCAGCCGAGGATCGAAATGCAGGGTCTCCTCACTCACCCGAACCCCGCCGAAGCCCATCGCGAGAACCCACCAGGAGCCCGCCATGTTCGAGCAGTGCAGCCCCCCGCCGGTATCCCCCATCAGATTGTCGAGATCAAGAAAGAGCGCCTGGCGGAAGTACGTCATCGCCTTCTCCACCAGCCGCAGCCGCGCCGCGAGGACGCCTTTGATGAAAATCTGCAACGACGAATCCGGCGCGGTGATGGACTCGTAAAGCTCGAAATCCGCCCGCACCTCCTCCGGCGAGAAACAATCCGGCAGCAGCATAATCGCGAGCAAGACGTCCGGCACGTGGCAGACTTGATGGCGATAAATCAAGTACGGATGAAACCGATCAATCAACGCCCCGCCCGGGGCGGGGCGCACGCGAAGATCGCTAAACCGCCACTTCTGTTTCGTCAAAAACGTCTCGTCGACGGGGTGCACGCGATGTTCGGCGTCGTAGGGGATCGCCATCCCTTCCGCGGCGCGCGCGATCGCGGCGAGGTCCTCCTCGCTCGCCTCGCAATCTGCGAGGATCTCCCGCCAACGCTCCGGCGCGGTTGCGCGAAGTCGCCCGGCGAGCGTCCCCACCCACCGCATCTGCTCCCTCGCCATCAAATTCGTAAACAGCGGATCGCTCAACAACCCGCCGTAGCGATCCGCCCCGAAGACGCCGCGGAGGTGAAACCGCCCCCCTTCCCAGACCCCCCACTCCAGCCAGACGAGGGCGGCCGCGAGGACGACCTCCGCGCCGCCACGGCTGTGCAGCAGCGCGAGGTCGCCCGTGGCGACGACGTACTGCCGCATCGCGTGCGCGATCAGCGCGTTCAAGAAGGGAAAATACGCGTGAAACGGCGGGTTCAGGCGAGGGGTGCTGCGAAGGGAATAAAGCGCCCCTCGCGAGAGCCCCGCCCCGCGCGCGGTCGTCCGCGCCTGGTATAAAGTTTGAATCCGAAACTCCAACAACGCCCGCGCGCGTTCGGGGCAAAGGTGGGTGAAAAACGGAATAATAAACGCATCGACGCCCCATTCATACCCTCCTGACATCTTCTCCCCCGTGAGGCTGCGGGAAGGGAACCCGAAGAGCGCGGGCGCCCCGTACGACATATTCACCTGCAAGATATGATACCGAAACGCCCCTTGCATCGCGAGATCGCCGTGGTAGACGACGTCGGCGTGCTTCCAAAACCGGGCGAGGGCGCGGGTGTGTTCTTGAAACAACGCCTCATACCCCTCCCACGCGGCCGCCTGGGTGCGTTGCAGGACGATCTCGCACAGATCCTCATGCGGGGCGTCCTCCTCGACGAGGAGCCCGACGTACTTCGTGAGCTCAAAGGTGACGTGCTCGGGGAGGACGCTGAAGAAGATCGTCTCCGCCCCGGCGTCGAGTTCGGCGGCGGTCGGCGTCAGCGTCGTCGTCGTCGTCGCGGCCGGGCGGGGATCCCGCGAGCGCGACCCCCCCCCCCTCCCCCCCTAGGGGGTGGGGGAAACCCCCCCCTTCCCCATCCCCATCCCCTCCCCATGCGAGAGGCCGGTTGAAGCGGTCGTGGAGGTCCCGCCGGCGCGGGAGGGCGACCCCCCCCCTAGGGGCTTCCGCGGCCGTGCGAAGGAGCGGCAGGACTCCGTCGTCGCCACGGCGAGGTGGCGGCAGCTGCGTGGGGTGCGTACGAGGAGCATCGCGGAGGCCGCGGCGATGGTCGCGCCGACGGAGACCCGCTCGACCCCACACGCCGCGCGCGTTTTCCCGTCGTTCGGGATCGTCGTGCGCGAGATCAGGCGGATCTCCGTGTGGTTCGCGTTGCGCGCGGAGACGGCGAACCGCGTCGCCGCGATATTCTTCACGGCGGAGATGAAACGGGTGGATTCGATCGTGACCTCCTTCGGGCTCGTGCGGGATTCCCACACCATCCGACGGTAGAGCTCCCCGGTGCGGAGATTCAACCGACGGGTGTGGGAGACGATCCGCCCGGTCGCGGGGCTCACATGTTCGCCGCCGATGATCACATCCACGCAAAACGGATCGGGCGCGCGCACCATATACGAACCATTCAACACATGATAATCGCTGTAGGGATGGCCATAACTCGCCGGGATGTGCATCTCCGTGAAGCCGGAGACGTAAAACCCACGGATCGGCCCGCGCGGGATCGATTCGTCGACGGAAAGCGATTCGCTTAAGCTGTTCGACGCGAAGGAGTGGCGGATATCCCGCTCGGGATGCCCCCCTTGTCTGGAATCGAGAAAATCGCTCATCTCACCAACCCCGCTGGAGTTCAGATGCTGCAGATGCGGCTTCTTATCGCTGCTGGTGGTGGTGTGAAACGTCGCCCCTCCCCCCTGGCTGGACTCCACGTTGCCGTAAAGGGGGGAGTTGACGCCCAACGAGGACTCCTCCGGGTAACCCCGCACCCCAATGTTGCCATTTCCGATCGAAAAGATCTCCTCACTAACGTGGTTATCCTGGGGGTCTGGTAACGTCTCCTCACGCAGCTCCCAGCCCTCACTCTCCTCGGGGAAAGTCCATCGGGCGGGATTAGGAGGGGCCGGAATGCCCATCGACGACATTTTTATCGTTACACCACGATATAAGTTTCCGCCAAATCAGTCCACACCCACACTCACTCACTTAATCCGAAGAGAAGGGATGTCCACAGAAAAAGGATTCAAGAGTTCTGAAGAGAACCCAACAAACGATAGGTAAACTAAGATATAAAAAATATCTTGAAGCAGGAGTTCACTGGATAAACACTCCTGCCGTGTCTGAAAACAGCTTCGTGACTAAAACTAAAACTCCTTGGAAGGATAGAACGAGAAAGAAATAATGGCATCTATGCAACATATTGGGTATCGTTTAATGATTATTGGATTAGCATGGGGCAACCACAAGATACACGTCGACACGAATGGGTGTTTTATTCATCTATCAAGTCAAGTGCGATGACTCACGTCAGTAATTTTTAAAAAGAGAGGATTATTAACATCCTATTCAGGGGAAATTCGATGCAATCCATCATCCCGTGTATGGTAAAAATATTTGGTTATCTCTTTCGACTCTAACTCGCAAATATGTATTTGGGGGGCATTATCGTCTATGAAACTCGTTAGAAGTATCCACTGTGTGAGATTTACCCCACTATCCCCCCTCCAACAGAAAAGAAAAGAAGTTCACAAGACTACTTCTACTGAAAAAATAATAATAATAATAATAATACTAATAAGCTTGCTAGCAAACCGTACTGATCGATCTTCCATTCTTCGGATTTCTCCTACTCAGCGGAGCACCCGATTGGTAAGGAGGAGCCCTAGGCGACGACCCATCAATGCAGAATTTTCGATCGCGGCGTATGGGTATGTCTAGAGGCAGGTGAACGATGGGAGCGATGGAGGAGGTGACGAACCTTCTCGCGAAGCTCGGCGAACCGCCGGCGAATCGTGTCCTGGTCTTTTTGGTACGCCAAGGCGAGCTCGTGGGATTGGAGGTCGAGGGCGTCGTCGAAGGCGCGGAGGCTCGCCTCGAGGCGTTCATCCTCGAGCGCCTTATTCCGCACGCGGCGGCGTAAATCCAAAAGGACGACCTCGGCCTCCCGTTGCTCCTGCTCCATCTGACGGAGCAGCTGCGAGGACTCCGCCAGCCGCGCCGCGGCGGCCGCCTCGCGGTCGTGCATCTCGCGCAGAAGGTTCGCCAACGCCTCGAGGACGGCCTCGCGCTCGCCGGGCGGCGGGCGCGAACTCGCGGTGGATTTCTCCGCGAAACTCGGCGTGGGTGGGAGCGAAATCGGGGGAAGCCGCCCGCCGTGGTGGCAGACGAGCGCGGCGACGTCCGCGACGAACGCGTCGGCGGCCGCGCGGGCCTCGGAATCGCGGCGGCCCTCGCG